GAATACAAAACACATTTGTTCACAAGAATGGAAACCTGTAAACAGAGGACCCTATTACAAAATCACCAATCTTTACAATAAGCATAGCAGAACAAACTGAAGAAGCTTGACTTTAAGAGGGCTGCAATTGCTGGACCTGAATCAGTTCACTAGGCCCACCAGTGTGTGATGTTGGAACTCTCCAAAGCACCTAGCTAAGGAAAAGTTGGGTTTGGGTCTTTCTTCAGTAAGAATTTCTAAGCGCAGAAAATGAGGAGAAACAAAGTTGACAAATATGTCAGGCTCACATGGGAAAGAACTATCATGTTTTATTGAGCATTCTATGTAGGGGATGAAAAGAAAGAAGACGCTATATATCTCTGTTTTGAATAATAACAATGTTTTCTCTAAATTTCTACCAAATAGTGCTTTTCTACAATTCACAAAAATCACACACTTCAAAACTAGCAAGTAAGCAAGAAAAAAATATGAAAATACTTGAAAAGTCACAGTCTTAAATTCTGTGAAAGATACCAATATTAGCCTGGCACTAACCCCTGTTTTTCCTTGTACAAAGGCCACACCACTCAATAGAACCACCTCTCCTCCCTCTTTTCATATCTACTTTGCAAAGAAACATATTTTTTTCACACAGTTACATGTTCTACATGTTCAGATTGTGACTGTGGGCATTCTACATATCAAGGGCAGTAAGGCTAACACTAAGAACAAACCCAGAACCTAAATTACTTTGTTTTCTTGGATTTATAAATAACCAACCTCTCTGACAACAGTAGTCTATAGTGGTGCAGGGGACAGCCAGACAGGACAGCTAAACACACCAAATGTATCTTTGGCACTGGAAAAAGCAGCATTCCCTTCTTCCAACTTGATGCTGCTGTCCCTGTTCAGTGTACTTGCTCGCTGGCTCTCATCTGACCACACAATAAGATAATTCAATTTGATAACCAAAGGGAGAAGAGGGAGGGGGAAAGAATCAGGCAAAACAAAAAGAAAGGAAATAACTTTCTGCTGGGTTAGTTGAGTGAATTAATTTCTCATGTGCTTAGAAAAGTACCAGTCACTGCAACAGAGCAGTACAATCATGCTGTATGAAAACCAGAAGGGAGTAACTGAATACTCCATGCAGAAGCAGTAAAATGTGAGAACTGCTAGTCAGTTCCTTTAACATCCACCTACTCCCAGACTTATTCCTTATCCACCATCTAAAAGCCTGCATGATTCACCCCAACTTCAGCAATGCAGCATTGAGAACTTTCCCAAATACAGGTCTGCCTCTCTGAAATCTAATTATGTCAGCATTCTACTAAAACATCTTTGTGGGTTTCACTTGAAACTTCTAGGACAAGCTGCTTTTGACACACATGATAAAAGATACGTATATTAATTTCAAATGCATGGATTTTTTTTTTTAGGGAAACGAAATTTTAATTAAAAAGGACATTCTAACCACAATGCACCTGTAAAATAAAAACAGCTTCCCAGCTTCTTGGCGGTAGTTTAAGAAACTAAACTACAACAGTAAATCAAATATTTGCAATTTATTTCAGTATTTTCATGCATTTATAACTATGCAACAGACAGAAACACAAAGCTGTTGCTTAAACAAGCAGTTTGAACCCCGTCACCCCCCCAGTTTGTGTGTGTTATGTTACAGTTTAAGTCACATGATTGCGTGCTATTTTTCTGCAGGACATCTGCCTCATTCAGCGCACTAAACTGACTCAGATCAAGGGAAACTTAGCATTGTGCACTGAAGGGAGCTGCTCTCTGTAGGACCAGTCCATTGAAAATGCATAGATGCACAATGATTGGTATTATCACAGGCATTCGATAAGAGCATTATAAACCTAATAGTGAACACAAGACCCCTGCAGGCTCACTTAGCATGGTGAAGATGTGTACCTTAGAAAAGATATGTACACCTAACCCTAGCTCCCAGCTAGCAGATTTGAAGCTACATGCCCCAGAGTAACAAAGACCTTCCTTTTCTCAGATTTCAAAGAGTCTTCTGGTCACAACCATATCAATTTTTACTACATTATGTAGCAAGTTCTTCAAAGAGGGGGAAGTGCATGCCACTGTGTCCTGTTACAAACTCAGAAGTGCTATAAACAGATACAAGAATTTCTACAAGTAAATTCTGCTATCTGCACCAATTCAATATCTCATTCCCCTGTCCAAAATTTTCTAAAGGAGAACCAGAATTTCACAGGTTTTCCTGGCTGTCTAGCTAAAGTAACACAATACATTTTTACCTCAGTTCCATTCTGCCCGCAAAGCTAAGAAATGCAGCACTATTGTGGAAACCGCCTTTTTAGGAAACGTTAGAGAGATATGGCACCAGTATACATTAAGTACATTTTTCCTGCATTTGCAGCAACTGGAAATTGTACTTCAAAATCAATTTCTGCAGCTGCTTATGCCTCAGATTTCATTCCAGTCATTCAAGGAAGCTTCCTAGCTTCCACCTACAAATGAACACAGACTCTTCGTGTTCACTTTCATAAGCTTTTCATTTTCTGGATTATAGATTATCACCAGACCTGTTACAAAATTATGCCTGACAAGTGTGTTACAGCTGATGAAGCACAACAGAGCAAGAACCCATTTTTCTTTGCAAGTCAGAATAGATATGGGAAGTAGTCACTGCCAAAAAAACCCACCAATCAGTACCATGACAAACTAAGTTAAGTAACAACTTTCATGCCAGAATGTTTTTCTTTAAAACAATTAAAGAAAAATTTTAATCTGATTCATTACACATTAAATTTGTGGGGGATGGTGCCAGACTCTTTCCAGTGGTGCCCTGCAACAGGACAAGGAGCAATGGCCATAAACTAAAACACAGGAAGTTTCACTTCAACATGAGGAAGAACTTCTTAATGTTGAGGGTGGCAGAGCACTGGAATAGGCTGCCTAGGGAGGTTGCGGAGTCTCCCTTTCTGGAGACATTCAAAACCCGCCTGACACATTCCTGTGTAACCTTCTCTAGGTGGCCCTGCCTTGGGATGGACTGGATGATCTCCAGGGGTCCCTTCCAACTCTAATGATTCTGTAGTAACTTTCAAACGCTTGAGATTTTGACTAAATTGTGTGTATCTTCAGACATGATTCTGTCTATTCAGGCAGGCTTCCCAACCTCCTTCAGACAAAAAAAGAAAAAAACAAAAAAAACCCCAACAAATTTACATGAAAGTGAAAAAGAGTGTGGAGTGATTCTTTGTAGTAGTTATATGTTTAACTTTTTTCCCCATTACATAAAGTTGAGAAGCTTTAACTCTATACTAACACAGTTCAGTTCCAGTAAGACAGACCTCTCAGCATCTGCTCATAAAGTAATTCCTACAGGAACGTAATCGTAGGAAATGACAGGGTATTTAATCACCTCTTAGCTCAGTTTACAAAAACTGTCCCATCCCACGCCATTTTATACGGACAAATCCAGGGCCAAGAACACTGTCATGATACCTTGAATAGCATTCCAAAGGAGAAAAGGTATCATAGTATCATGGAATGGTTTGAGTTGGAAAGGACCTCAAAGATCATCTAGTTCCAACCCCTCTGCCATGAGCAGGGCAATCACTGCAGTGCTAGAACAGGCTTTTTTTCTTTCAGAGTAGTTAAATATTTTATGAGTACCTTTGCTTTCACAGGGAAGAAAATAATTTCTTCAAATTAGATCAGTGGAAGCTACCTGTCATCTCTTGTCATAAGCGCACAATTCGTATGCACGTAACTCATCAGCCTACCATCTGCACCTCTTTCTTCCATGAAGCCATAAAAACAGATGGACTAATTGTCCATCTCAATAAACGCTTAAGCACCGCCCGCAGGCTGGCCCCTGCTCCCCCGGGCCGGTACCCTCGCCTCACACACCCAAAGAGCACCCCTGCCTGCCGCCACGCAACGGGCTTGGTCCGCGGGGACGCATCGGGGACACAGTGCGAGGAGCAGGAGGAGCAGCGCCCCCCGCCCGCCCCGCCCGGCTGCAGCGGGCGGCGCGCAGGGGCTGGGGGCGGAGGAGGGCCCCGCCGCCGCAGCCTGCTTCCTCCGCTGCATCGCGCGTTCGGCTCGAGGAGCAGCCATCGGGTTTTTGTTAGCTCGGTAACCCGTTCACTCCCGCGCCACAAAGACAAAAGTGGGCCCGGCGCCGCTTCTCGCCGCCAGGAACAAAAAGCGTTATTTCGCGTTGTCCGCGGGAAGAACCCCAAGAAAGGGGAAATCGCGCCTTCGGGAGAGTATGTTTGAATGCAGAAGCATATTGCATCCTCGATGCTGTATTCTGCCTCGATGGGGGGAAATACGCAATAAGAGAAAAGGGAAGACCAACAGATTTTCTCCATCAGCCTTCTCAGGAGACATGATTTTAAGGAGACGGGGGAAGACACCGCCTCTCGAATGACCGGCATCACTGACATCTGGAGACACGCCACCTCCAGCAGCGGGGCAGACTGTCAAATAGGAGCAATCGAAAAAAAACCCCAGTAACAATAAAAAAATTAAACCTCTAGAGACGCCCGCTCGAATCGCGGAAATCCGCCCGCGGGAGTGGAAGGCAGGCTGCGAAGCCCCAGTGCCCGCAGCCGGCCGGCCGGGTGGGTGTGCCAGTGGCGGCAACCACAGCAAGGGGTGGCAAAGGGCAAGGAGACACGGGCAGCGGGATCTGGCAGTGCCGCCCGCATCCAGCCTGCGGTGATACCCTGGGGCAGCAGGAGCCCCCCACCACTGGCCCCCGCCGCGCTCACGAGCGAAAGGAAGTCGGGGGCGCGGAGCAGCCTACGGACCCAACTGGGACGGGGGAGGGGGAGCGGGCTGCGCCCACACCGCACTACCGCCCCCTCGGCCGGCCGCAGACCCCGCCGCACAGCGCCGGGTTCCTGCGGCCGACGGCCGCCTGACACAATAGGCAACGGGCGGATGAACGGCGCGACCCCGGTCCCCCTCCGCGTCACGGCTCCCGCCCGATCCTCGGCCAAGACGGCAGCATCCTCACTCACCCCTTCGAGGAGGTTCGCCGCGCCGGGGAGGGGCCGTCCCTAGCGGTGCCGCCGCCGGTGCTCACAGAGCCGGCATCCCCAGCAGGGCGGGGGCGGGGCGCTCCGGTCGGTGTCCCTCTGGCAACGGCCCCAACGTTATTCCCTCCACATAGCGGCTAACGGGCAGAGCGGGGAACAACACTGCGCAGGCGCTACTCGAGCTCACACAATGAGGGGGGGAAGGAGGGTGAAGTACGCAGGCGCGCAACGCCCTGCTGCGGGGAAGCCGCGCCGCGCCTGCGCCGGCTGCAGACAATGACCGACTCCGTCCCACTAACGGGCGTCCGTAGCGCAGGCGCCAGAGTAAGCAGCGGCGGGCGGTAAACGCCGATTCCCGCTCCCGTCGTTGTCTGTGTCCCGTTCCCCCCCACCTCGGTCACCACTGGACCTGCGCTATCCGCAGCCACTGCGGGGCCGACGATGTAGGCGGAAGGGCTGCGGCGTGCGCAGGCGCGAGTGCGGCCGCCATCCACAACAAAGGGGGGCGAGGAGAGGCTACCTCGTGCCGGCAGTGGGCGGCCGACGCTGGCTCCACCTCCCGAGGCGCGCTGGGACTTGTAGTTTACTGCGTTCTTGTGCGCGCGGGGCGTGGCAGGCCTCGGGTGTTGCCTAGGGGCGGCGGGTAGCAACGGCCGCGCTGGGGAGCTGGCGGCAGCTGGGGGTCTCTCTGGAGAGCGGGAAGGAGGAGCTTCTGTTCCTCACCAGCGCCTCAGGGCAGCGCAGACTGCTTCCCCGGGAGCTGGCGGCGGCTTCATCATGCGGGTGCCCCACGAGGAGCCTGCCCTGGAAGAGTCCCTGGAGCGGTACCAGAGGCGCCTCCAAGGTGAGCGGGCTCCGCCGCGGGGTGAGAGAGGGCTGCTTCTCCCGCCCGCCTCTCTTGTGGGTCTGTGGGGGGGGTTCCGCTGTACCCGGTTGCCTCCTACAGCGGAGCGTTGCGGGGCCGGGCGGTGCGGAGCCGGGGACCGGGCTGGGCCGTCCCGCCGCTCTCCGGGATGAACGTACTGAGGAAGCGCGGCCCGCCGGCTCTCGGCGCGGCTGGCGGTTAGAGGGAAGTTGGAAACACGGACTCGGCGCGGCTGGAAAAGTCCTTAAAGATCATCAAGTCCAACCTTTACTCCAGGACTCCCAAGTCCATCACTAAGTTGGTTTTGGTCCTGCCTGAATCCGATCACTGGTGCAGTTAAACTCATTGCATGTAGGTGTACGGTCAGAATTTGGCTCTGACAGGGCCACTGGCTCTTTTGCCGGGTTTTGGTTCGTGCAAGGGTGTCAGCTGTCATTGAGATTCCAGATGTGATAAAGAAGAGGGTGCAAGTTGCTTCTAACGGGATTATTTCCCATGTCATAACCTGTTTTCATACTTGCTGCCTTATTCAAGAGTGTAGTATATAGCTGGGCAGAGAGCGCTTTAATCTCTCAGCTATGACACCTGCGCTTTACCAGCCTTCAGACTGTCTCTGACTAGCCAGACTAAGTGTCCAGATTCTGAAGAAAAGCAGTAGATAATCTGTGGGTACGTCACCCCATTTGGTGCAGAAAGTTGTGGTTTTGACACAGTGCCCACACATCACATGTTGTGACACGAGTGAATTAAATATGTAGTTGCAATATAGATATGTTACTGCAAAAAGACAAAGTAATTGAAATAATTTTAAGTAGCTACTTGATATTTGATTCTTAGCAGGTATTTTATATTTCCTTTTCAAAATAGCATCAGTCCTTTGCACTGAGGATGGATTTTGTTTGCTCCAGAAGGTAGAGCTCTGAAGAGTCACTTCTATGGAATTGACTTTTCAAAGAACTACCTGAAATGAGGATGGAGCAAGGAGGTGGCTGATACTTCCAAATTGTGAGTGATAAGAGCTGTGCCAGGGGAGGTTTAGAGTTGATACTAGGAAAAATTTCTTCACTGAAGGGTAGTTGGGCATTGGAGCAGGCTGCCCAGCCAGTGGTGGAATTGCTCTCCCTGGAAGTGTTCAAAAACTAGATCGCTCTTAGTGACATGGTTTAGTGGTAGACATGGCAGTCTTGGTGTAAAGGTTGGACTTGGTGATCTTAAAATTCTATTCCAACCTAGTTGATTATGTTTCCTTCTCATGTAGGTTTAGTGGGCTAGTAGATGCTGCTTGGTGCTTGCAGGTAGAAGAGTTAAAATGACAAATATCAGAGCATCTCCTAATATGTGTAGCGTTCCTCTTTTGATATGTAAATGGAATTAATGAACCCCTATGAATTGCCACACGTACACATGAATGATCTTAGTACGGTATCAGGTTTCCTTTTTCTGTGGGTGAGTATGGAAAACCACTGGATAGTTTTCCTGTATTTGATTTGGACTTTTCATGGAGGCAAAGTATTGCCTATTGACTCCTATTGGAAAAGGAAGAGTGATAAACTAGGAATTTAAAACTGCAGTTGAACACATGATTTTTCTGCTTAGTAAATCTTCTAATGGCACTGTGTCTTTGCTTCGAGGCAGTATTGTTATTCAGAGAGACATAACTTCATTTAGAAAGGCTACACTTCAAGGGGTTTTGTTAATTTCTGCTACACTATTATAGGTGTAAGTGCAAGCTCAGCCAATGTGGAAAATTTGGTGAATTTCACAAGATAGTTCTTTTTAGAGTGTGATTATCTTTTACCTAGAATACTTTTTCATGCTTGTTTGCTTGCTTTTATGCAGATCTGGGAAAAGGCTAAGCTATTACTGGAAAATTTTAATAAATTCATGTTCTCCTGTTATAGCTCAGTGGCTGACCTGCCTTTGATTTTAGGGAATGAAGGCCAGTCAGTGCTACCTAGTCCAAATGGTCGCATGCAGGCAGTGGAGAAGTCAGGTTTCTTCTGTTCATCCTCATCCAGGGACATATAGAGGTGTGAATTCTGGAGCTTGCAGGAAGTGAAGTGTGCTTGTGCCAAACATCCATCCTGCTGAGGAATCCACCTGCCACTGGATACAGTGGTGATGTTGGGATGCTTGAACTCCATGCAGAACTAGATGTCCTCAGCTTCCTTGGGTGCTAACAGCAGGTGAACCTGAAGACTTTTGGTTTCCAAGCCTACTATGTATTCCCATAATTTTGGATGCCTAATACTTCTTCATGTAAATGTTCTTGTGTGTGTATAGTTTGGTAAGCTTGATAAGGACTTCATAGCTTGTTTCTTGATTCAGAACAGGCTTGTCATGAAAATGTTTTTGTAGCATTTTGCAACTGAGTTCCAATCTTTCTGGTTTTTCTCTTAGGCTCTTTTTGTATTTTGAATGTTCCAGTGGGACATTTCTCTTTCAGCTAGGAAATCTGTTGGGGTGTTTGGGGACATTCATATACATGATCATAGTTGTGACAAGCTTTTAGGCTCTTGATATGTGAAGTTTTGAAGCACGCCTTTATGGCAAATTATCTGGACATTGTAAGTGAAATCTTTAATTCTGTGCTGTGTTCAAAGGGCCTTTTTCAAGAATTTTGCATCCTGGGCTGCTCAACTGTGTATAAGAGTGCTATTAGAGTTCACAGTATTTAATGATCAGTTACATGTATTCTGTTCACACAGCTTATTTTCATTTTGTTTATTTCTGACTGGAAACATTATGGTTTTTAAATCATTTTAGAAGACAATGTCCTGATGGCTGTTTCACTTTCCATTCTGGGAAACATGGACTTTTCCCATACAGTGCCAAGGTAGATTTGATTTCATACATCCAGGGGTGCCTCTTGGTCAAGTAGGTATCAGTAGGGTATTATCACAAACATAACCCCAATGCAGGGCGGTAAGTTCCACTGTGTTTCTCAATTAGCTGTTTTATTTCTCAGTGATATGCAAGTTTTGACCTGTACAGCATTTCTCACATCATTACCATTAGGAGTTTTCTGTAGAACAGACAGATGATTATTACTCTCAAAGTTGTCAAACCTAATTCTTTTACCTGTTTTGATTATACAGTTATAAAGCTTGAGATTTTTCCTCCAAATTTAGGTCATTCCTGTTATCTGGATTCTGTAATTTCAGGTGGTATGCCTTGAGCATTATTTGATGGTTTTGAAATAAAATGTTCTTAAACTGCCTGTGATGCTTAACAGTATCTGGACCCAGGCTGATACGTGGCAACAGGTTATTACCACCCATGCTGGAGATCAGAAGAATTGTTTTACAGCCTTATTCAGTTTGTTGGAAGGGTGTATACGTTCTCAAAGAGTAATTGATTATTTCAATGCAGTGACCTTTGTTGTAAAGGGAAATAAGTCCCTCAGAAGACTGATACACAGGGAGCCCAGGTGTTCAGTGAAGTGAGTGTGGTGGCCAGAGGACAGAAAGCAGGACTGGAGAAATCTAAGACATAAGTGGTCTTAGAGCCCAACAGGGAAGTTCTGAAATAACAAAGGTCTTGTAACAGGGCTTTTCCTGAATAGCATGGACCTTTTATGACGAAAGTCTTTAATATTGTATGTATAATACAGATTTAAGAGGGTAGTACTTGTACAGTTTGGGTTATTGGGTTACTGTGTAAACTTGCACAGAATTGACACCATTTCGAAGTCTTTGGGAGACCATAACATTTCTGTTAAAGTTATTCTCAAGGGAATAGAAGTATTTCGTAAAGGAGAATAAGTGCTGTGCTAGTGTATTCACATTAATAAGTAAAAACTGGTAGGCATAGTGTGAATGTCCAAGTGCAAAGAGCAGAGTGTGATGGCTTCCTGCTGCTTTCCCTTTTTCTTCCAACAGCAGTAAATATTTGGAGAAGACCATTTAGAGCCTGATTTTTTGTTTCTAGCATTCACCTGGTTCCTTGAACAGAGAACTATTAACTTACTTTTTATGTTGAATTTTCTGCCTGTTTAGTAAACAAACAGCACTGGCTTACTTTAGGGCCATAGTATAAAAGGAGGAACAATGGAGGAGAAGACCATCCTTTTTAGGTATTGTGCCTGATAAAAGCATCTTGTAAATCTACCCTAAGAAGAAGTGGAAATTATGTGCTGTATTCTGCTGCATTACCGAGTGAAGTGTCTTACATAATTCACAGAATGAAGATGCAAGCTCTAAGAGCAACAGGTGAAAATAAAATACTTGTACAAATAAAGCTGCATTTTGTGGCTGCTTTATGTGACTCCAAAAATAAAGCAGGGAAGAT